GCAACCCCCGCTCGCTTACGTTTCACTTGAGCAATTGCGCAATTTCATGTCTTGGCCGCGGTGGCGTCTTCAACGTGTGAGGTTCACTTCTTCCATCTCTCTCTATCTCTCTTTGGCTCTCTCTTTTATTTATTTCCCCTCCTGTGCCCTTGTGTCTTAGGAAAGTGGGCAATCAATTGCGGCAATTGCCATGCGATAAGCCCTCGAGTCACGCAGCTATAATGCAAATTTCTCTAGAGTTCTCTAGAGCTTACTGATTGTAACATTATTAAATTATGCCTTTCAATTGAATGTGAAATTCAAATGTCCATAATGAGCCAAATTGCATTTAGGTTAGGTATAGTTGGCAATGGAACACACAATTGATCGCCTTTTGCGCTTTATCTTTGATTTGCTAGTCAATAAATATATAAAAATATCAAATTACAATTATATTGCATCTCACTACTGGTATTTTAGGCGTGGTTCGGTATGCCTGGTTATGGAACAATAAAATTTAATTACCTCAGCCATTTCCTATGCTCCTTTTATGCAGCTGCAATAAAGTCGAAATGTTAATTTTTTGGCCAAATTTTTTCGCTATTGTTGAACCATTAAAGGCATTTCCAATTCCAGTTCCCAACATTGTCTATTTCGCAAATATATATACATATATATGTGTATATATGTATATGAACATAAAAAAATAAACTTTTCGGTCACAAAATGGCCATAAAGTTTATGATAATACATATATATGAAACAGTTGCTGGCGCTGGGCGCTCATAAAATGGCTAACAACAACAATATGATGTTGTCTCTTTTTCTTTTGGCCAAAACGACAACCATTTAGTAATTTGTTTTTACCAAAGCCCCGCCGTCTGCACCTGCTGTCCCTCACTAGAAAACGTAACGCGACGGCAATGAAACGCTCAAGTGAAAACTTGGACTAATTAACGCTGCTGTTGGCCGTAATTTGAAAGGAAAGTGCGCCAAGTTTATGAGACAAGAGCAGCGCAGTTCCATAAAATATAAATATAAAATACACATACAGAATGAGCGAGAGAGAGAGAGAGAGAGGGAGAAAAGAAAATTTATGCCTACTATTAGTGGTAGAAATCTGATATCTGATAGACCGAGTTTATTATTAGGAACGGGAGATCGCATTTCATGAACTCAGCGGCAATTGGACGATTAGTGGTTAAGTGGAATGGTTTAGAAACTTGTCTACCCGCAGCAAATGCAAAGAGAGCTAAGAATGCGTAATAAAAGTTAAGAACAAAATGGAATGGAACATAGGCAGCTGCATTCGTAAAGAGCCATTGACAGATATTGAGTTACGAAGCATAAAATAGAAATAAATGGAAATAAAATTGATGTGTCAGAATGGAATCTAATGGAATGGAACATTAGAACATTACAAAAGCCTCTTTTGGAATTAGTCTGCAATGAAATAGAAGAGAAACTCCGCGGAATTGCTAAGCTCACTAAAGTGAATAGCTGAGGTAAAGCAAACTAAAGTGGAATGGAACATAGAGGGAAATGCACTTAGCAACGATTAACATCAGCTTAACTGTCATTAAGTCTGTTGGGGTTAACCACAATTTGTTAACGAAATGAAATGGAATAAAGTGAAGTGAAACAGCGACAGCTGCGCCTGAAAACCATTAAATTCGAGCATATGGTAATCCCCATTGGAACAATTATAAACGAAGAGTGGTAAAACCGAGAGAGAGAGAGAGAGAGAGAGAGAGAGAGAGAGAGAGAAAGAAGTGTAATCTGGCCGCAGGCGCAGCAATTTCGGTGTCAAAATCGCTGACATTTCTAATTTGCAAGAGGGTAGGGTAGGGTAGGGGCAAGTGGAAGGGTATCGCCGGTGCGTACAATGGGCCGGCGCGTCGTCAGGGTGGCAAGACAAATGACGGGGCATGGCCCAAAAAATAATTCGAAGGAACAGTTTAATTGCGGTTAAGCGACGGCGGCAGCCGACTTAAAGACGTCAAACTCGGAGACGCGACGGAGACTTGAGAGTGATGTCTGGCCCTGGGGCGATGGGCCAGGACTTTAGGCCTTGCAAGGGTAGCTGAGTCGCAGAAAACTTGTGCAACCACGCCCTATTCAATAACTCAACAAAAGCCACACACACACACACTCAAACACGCATACAGAGAGACAGAGGCACAACAACTTTTATGCATTTTCAATTACGAGCGCGCTTAAAGTTGTTTAATAAAGAATATTCAAACAGCAATAAAAGTGAGGGAAAGCTAAAACTTTTCTCTCTCCCTATCCCTCTTTCTCTTTACTAAGGGAGGGGGAGGGAGGAGGGGACAATTTTACCCTTGTTGTGTAATATTTATATGTTATATGCCCTGGATTGCGTGTGGCAATGCTTAGAGAGAGCCAGCCCCTGTTGCCTCGTTTCACGTTTGCCTCTATTCACGTTTTTTGGGCCTTTGTTGTATAATTCATTTCTATTGCCACTTTTATTATTGATTTCTACAACTCCGCTTTGAAGTCCGGGTCTCATTTGACGTGTAATTGCTTGTTTAGCTACCATTCCAAATGGCTCGTTTCCATGTCGTTCCATTGTAAGTGTGTGTGTGTGTATGTTGTCGATAAGAGCCAATTGTTGTTGTTAAATAGTTTTGCCGCTATGTTGTCTAGTGCCAACAGCTAATATATAACGCGCACAGCGCTGATTTATTGGCCTAACCGCGCCGAACCGTGCCTAATCTAACTGGGTCGATCTTCGACCGAACGAGCGCCCCAAAAGCTGACTAACTACTATGGAAGGCTAACACATAGCTGGGCGCCAAGAATGGCACCACACACAAGTGCGCAACAGAAGCGATAAAAAAATGTGTGCGAGCTTGATTTATCGATTACCATTATAGAGAGCAATAAAATGATTTTAATGTATTTAAAAATCAATAGAAGTCAACATTTGATATAATAAATTGTAAAAGACAGTCATAAATATTTGAGTTGCAAAAATATATAATAATAAACTACTATGAAAAGTGTTCCATTCCCAATTGTAGCCTAATGAATATTCATATAATTTATGAGAATAAATGAATATGAATTAGATATACAAATTTGTCTTTTTGCAATTGAAATTAGTTTTTAGGCTACGTACAAATTTTATTTTTATTTTTTATTGAAATACATTTGTTAATATAAATGAAAATTAGTTAGGTTATCTGAATTCGCTTGGTAAATAATTCATTTAATTCAATACTAGTTTTGTACTTAATCTTAAGAACAATTCATTTGATATAGAACTCGCGCTAAGAAGGACTTCAGAATATGCCATCAAACCTAAAGCGTATTCCTGTAATCATCTAAATCCTTTGTGTGTTCCATGTCTATTGTAGAGCCTAAAGTAAATTCAGTCATTCACTCAAACAAATTGTTCTTGTAATTGAATCAGAAAAAGGTATTCAAATACCTCCCAAAATTTACAGTTTACGCTTTCATTAGTCTAAAGGGCATTTGTGTTCCATGCCAAATTGTAGCTAACATTGCTTCAGTCATGACACGCCTCTTTGGCTCTCGAGATATATATATAAGTATATATATATATATGTATATATATAACCCCTTCAGTCAGTTCTCCAACTTGCCACAATTACAAGAGTACATTTTATATTATAATTTCTATTGGCTTTTACGAGCACTTTGAGCTGTTATTGTTGTAGTTGTTGTTGTTTTATTTTCTACTATTCGCTATGGTCAAGTAAAACGAAACAAAAAGCGTAAATTGGCACAAGGAAAGTGTGAAAAGCAAATGAAATACGCAAAGTGAACTGACGAATGAAACTAAAACTTAAACTACAACAAATCGTTGGGCTGGCTTTTCTTCCATATATGTACATATGTATGTATGTATACCTAGCTAGATCTACATGTGTATGTTGTATGTAATAAAAGGGCAGGGAAATTGGCTCACGAGCTAAATATCAAAGGCCGTGCGCTCATTATATTTTATGTGCCTACCGGCCGGTCCCCAGCGAACGCTGCTGCTGCTGTTGCTGCTGCGGCATAGTTTCAAGGCTCTTGCGAGTCAGGTGAGGTCGTTGCCAACGTTCTTGGCAACACCATTTAACCTTCGACTTTGACATTTTGGCCAAAAACTAATGCCAAAAAGTCAGGGCATCTCATTAGCGAAAAAAAGAAATGATTTCCTAATGCAGTATTTTCTAATTTACAATATATTTTTCGCAATTTATGAAAAGGTGAGATTCTGATGAAAGATTGGAGTAGGAAGGATGTTAACTGAAATTTATAGTGGGCTTGTTCTAGTAAATAAATAATTTGCAAAAGGACAGAGCACAACTGGAATGCTTGGAAATGAAACAAGTTAAACATAATTCAGCTTCTTCACTTTTATTGAGGTTTTAGTCACAACTATTATTATACATCAAATAGAGCTTTATTAAGTTGATCTTGGAACACTTGGCATTACTTGTTCATACTCCTAAGCACATTATTCATTCACATTCTGAGTACACTTGCAAGAATGTAATATTCATGCCTGCATCGAATGCTGTCCAGTGTTTCAATTGCCAAGGCGTTCCACTTAGATCTGCCTCGCGCGTGCTCAATTTGGCCAATGCAAATCTGGTCAATGCGCTGCAATTGGCAACGGAGCGTATCGAAGTGGATGCAGCGCACGCCATCGCAGTCAAGCCGGCGACGGCGGCGGCGGCTGTGGCTGTTGGTGGTGCAGAGTCCAGTGGTGCAACAACTTTTAATTAAATCTAATTACTTAGAAGAGCAACTGAATTAAACAATGCAAATAATCAAAGCTACTAAGCAGGTTTCATAAACCAAACCAGTTCAAGTTTTGGGGTTAAACCTTTCATAAACTCCAAGCGAGTTTTAAATTCAAGATCAGAGATATGGAAAGAGCAGGAGCGGGCCACATGCAGCCAGGTCTCAGAATTTTATCTCACCTACCCCTTTACTTGCTTGTACAGCTTTACTTAATTATGTCTTCTCTTCGTCCTTTGCAGAAATCCGGCATCAGCAATTTCGTCTGAATATGTCGCGCGACTACGAGCTGAACAGCGTGGCACAAGATGATCCCGCACTCATTGCATTCCTGCGCCAGATCCATATGCGCAAGTATATGTCTATGGCCAAAAGCACCGCCGTCAGCAGCTCCGGGAAAGCGCCAGCAGCCACCGCTGCTGTACCGCCCGCCGGCACGGGCAACAGCAGCAGCAACGGCAGCGGCAGCGGCAACAGCGTCTCTGATCAGCTGGCGCATTACGTAGCCGAGTTGGTCGGCGGCAAGCTGAATGGTGCAGTCATCCAGTCGTTAAGCGGGCCGCTGGCTCATCTCATAACGGCGCCCTGGTTGAGCGACCAGCTCAATTGGATGGGCGTGCTGGTGGAGCCGGAGCCGCGCTGGTATTTCGCGTTGCTCAAGCAGAATGCGCAAAGGCAACGCATGCAGGTGGTGCATGCCTGTGTCTCGCCCAATACCTATCCCAAAGAGGTGAGTACGTCTAAAGTGAGAGCACGCTAGGTGAACCAATTTGCTTCATGAACTATCTATAAAGGGAATACTAAAATAGGTGCAAGGAAATATCACTAAAGCCTCGACTCGAGTCGAGCTGTGATTCGTAATCGTAAGGGAAACTGAGACTTGCAATTTGCTTTAGCTAGCAGCGCTTTCACTCTATGAATATATATGTCTTGACATTTATTATATAACATACTAATGTATATATTCCACAGATTACCATACACAATGAGGATGTGCGCATAAATAGTTTGCACGACGAGGAGACATCGTGGTTCAATTCGCGTGTTAAATGCTTTCCGCTCTACACAATCATGCTGGCATGTGAGCGCACCGAATACGATCTGCTCAGCCTTGGCGTGCAGGGCCATGAGCTAGATGTGAGTCATCCACATGAAAATAATCCATGCTGAAATGTACTCTAATGAATCTTTTCACTCTCCAATTGCAGATCTTGCAGACGTTGCCCTTCGATAAGATCAAAATCGATATTATCTCGATACATTTGCTGGAGGATCATGAGGATGTGCACGACTATGTGCAGAGCATAACAAAGTTCCTAGCGGGCAAATTTTATAAATTGCAGCGCAAAATTGGACGCAACTATTTCTATCAGCGACTCAATGCCAGCGCCAGTCGTACGCGCAAAAAGGATATATTGCTGCTCAAAACGCCACAACAATAACAGCAATCACAGCAGCAGCAGCAGCAACAACAACGAATTAAACTCTACAAATTTATAAATAAATAAATAA